AAATATATTCTATAAATCTTCAAATATTAAATATATTTATTTAATTATAAGTTAATATATAAAATTTTGTGTAATTATATTTTAATTTAAATATATCAAGTTGGTATATTATGTTTAATAAGATGACTAATAGAATACAATAAATTAACAAATTAGCATTAATTTTATTAATTAGTTATTTGATTATTCATAAATAGTATTTTAAAAAAATTAACTAATAAACTGATTTTTAACTATACTATTATAAGACTTAAAAAGTAGTTAAATTAAGTTCAGAATAGTATAATATATCCAAAAGTCATGAAGGTAAAATTTTATAAATTGCATAAATTGTATTTATTGTATTTATTGTATATATTGTATTTATTGCATATATAGAATTTATGTGTTTTATGTAATTTATGCAAGTTATATAATTTATTAGATATATGTGATTTATTAGATATATATAATTTATTAGAAATATTACTTTTATGATATTTATGTAATAAATTAGATAAATTGTATCTGAATATTATATTATAAATAAAGGCTGTATTAGCTTATGAAGAGAGGATAATTCCTAAGTTTGCTTTAATACAAACTAAATTTTTTATTAAATAAATACTATATTATAAATTTTGAATAACCTTCTTTCACTAAACTAATCCTTATACTCTAATTTACTATTTAACATAACTAATAGTAAGATACTCATTAACTTGTCTACATAATACCTACTTCATAATTTGAGTCTTAATATACTAAGACTAACTATAGTATATTGTCTAGCTAATCTGATAAATTATAGTTAGTTGTAGTTGTATTACTTGTCTAATTGTCTGATATACTGTAGTAATTGTAGTTATAATTAATAAGTTTAAGATATACAATATATAGTTGTATTCTAGTTATTCAAATTCTGAAGATCAAGTCTCTACATAGTTCTTCTGCTATAAATAATATTAGTATTAGTAAGATAATAATTGAAGGCAGAATTACCAAGAAGATTAGTGAGACTCAACTATAAATTCAAACTACTAACTAAATCTAAATGCTCTTTTTTAACTAAGCTATTTGTAAATTATATAAGATTTTTATAAATAAGTAACTGACCTACTATAATTCTCTAGTAGTATTTTTAGTAATAACTATGAGATACATAATACAATTTTTGTTGTATTATTCTCTGAAAGTAAACAATAGTGTAGAAGTTATAAAAATTTAAAAAAAAAAATTATATGAAACATACTAACTAGCAATCTCTAATCTAAATTATTAGCAATACAAAACCTAAATAAAAATACTCTAATAACAGCAAATCTCAAAGAACCTTTCAAATTATAAACTAATTCAAACAAGTATCCAAAGAAGAACTATATATTCCTATTATAAAAAAGAAAACCATACTATTAATAAGTTTCCAAAAATAAAAATGATATAACTAGAATATATAGAGTTGTTAGATGCACTTACTGAAGAAAAAACTGTGGAAACCTATAAAATAATAGATAAAACTATAAGAAACCTTAGTATTAATAACCTACAAAGTCTAAAACATTTTTTAGAAATGTTAATAAATGTTAGCTTAGATCATAACCTTGATAATAATAAAAAAGAAGAAAAGGTTATGTACCTACTTCTGTATATCTAATTGACTTCACCTATAAAAAAAAAAAAAGAAAAAAGTCTGCTTCTAATGCTTTTAGTAATCCCAAATCTGAAAGTTCTCTTAACACTATTCAGTTACAAAAAAGACCTGATCTTTGAAATAATTAATCTTTATATTGTTCTAGAAATAAAAGTTAGTAATTCTGATATTGAAGACCCACTAAAAAACCTAATCAATAGTTATTTAGAAGCATTAAAAAAGAACAATATAAATAGACAAAACAATTTTGAACTCTGTTATAAAAAAGAAATCAAAGCTGAAAAAAATGAATATAAGATGCTCATAAGTTCCCAAAAGTCAGCTAATCTAAACTATAAAGAAATAGAAGACCTACTTAGACTGAATAATGATAATAATACTAATCCTGATGAGGTTGATAGTAATTTCAATAATAGAACAATTGTTGCAAAAGATGATGAACTCAAAACATCAGAATAGGATATAAACCTCAATAAAACCTGCAATTTATAGATAAAAAAGGTTAGTGAGTTCTTAAAAATAGCCTTAGACAACAAGATTGTGATGCTCATAGAAAAAGAAACCTAGTATCTATATAGCACAATAAAACCTGAAACTATGTTTAGTCTTGTTAAATTGAAAGTAAAGGTCAATAGTTATGAAAATAATAAAAAAGAGAAAACTGCAGAAGATAGACCTAAAAATAAAAAGAAGATCAAGTTAAAATTGGTAACAAAAAGACCTCCAAACCTGAAAGCTTCCCAAAGCATAACACTCTGCTGTTTAAGCTCTAAGATCTTTGACTCTGGAGGAATAAGTCCCTAAAATAAAGTGAAATAATAATAATAATAATAAAATAAAAAAAAAATAACAAATAAATAAAAAAATAAATAACAATAAATGAATGGAAGAGAAAAAGATGGGGAATACTATCATAACGAGAAAAAGATCATAAAACGGAGAACCAACTATGACGGGTGGAAATGGTACAATTTCTACTGTTACGAGTAATTCGAGCTCAATGACCTCCAGAAATTGAAGCTAAATAAACTCCACAGAATTGCCATTTCCAAATCACATCTGTCAGAAGTATCACAAACAGAAGTTGATGCGTGGACGCACAACTTAAGTGGGGGAGAGATGTGAGACTTGAAAAGTGGTTAAGTTGGGTCCGGAATGGTATAACGTGACCACAGGTCACGGGGTAAAATTTCATAAATTGCATAAATTGCATTTATTGCATTTATTGCATATATTGCATTTATTGCATTTATGGAATTTATGCGATTTATGTGATTTACGCAACTTATGTGATTTATTGGATATATGCGATTTATTAGATATATGTAATTTATTAGACATATTACTTTTATGACATTTATGTAATAAATTAGATAAATTGCATCCGAATATTATATTATAAATAAAGGCCGTGTTGGCCCATGAAGGGAGGATAACTCCTAAGTTTGCTTTAATACAAACTGAGTTCGTTATTGAATAAATACTACATTATAAATCCCGAATAACCCCCTTTCGCTAAACTAATCCTTAAACTCCGATCTACTGTTTAACGTAACTAACAGTAAGATCCTCGCTAACTTGTCCACGTGATACCTACCCCATAGTTTGAGTCTTAACGTACCAAGACTAACCGTGGTATATTGTCCAGCTAACCCGACGGATTGTGGTTGGTTGTGGTTGTATTACTTGTCCAATTGCCCGACGTACTGTGGTAATTGTGGTTATAATCGATAAGTTTAGGATACAC